TTTGTTAGGCGAGAAAGATGATTTTACCGTCTTACCCCCATAAATTTTGCCTATATATACAAGGGGTTTGACCTCATTTTCACACTTTGGAACTTTGCATTTTCTAGAGAGAAGTCAAAGCTTCTAGAGAGAGAAAGTGCCACTTTCCTTGAATCTTCAAGAGCTCCGCCGTGCCTTTGAGTTTTCCGGGCACATTCTTTGAGTTTTCCGGTCAACCATCAAGACTTTCAAGTTTTCTACATGTACAGAGGTAGGCCACCTGTTTTCTTTTTCTTGCATTTTTATTTCTTTATTCTTCATTTAAAATCTGGCTCAACATTCGGCTTCGTCCGTTTCTCCTCATGAGATCGGCCGTTCGCCTGGGACTGAGGAGTCTAGAGTGGACGGAGAAGAGTTGTCTCCTTCGTGGAGTGGGTCCATTTCTAGTGCGTACCAACTCACTTCCACCCATTCTTCTCTGTCCCTGCAGTCGAACATGGAAAGAACAATGCAGACGTACGATCGTCATGCGGCCAGAAATCCAGACGATAGTCTGGTGAACCCTAGGCCTCCTTATGACCCTAACAACCCTAACTTAGAAACGCCTTCTACTACTCCTACAACCGCTTCCACGGGAACTCACTGCTCGGCCGTGGAAGTAACTTCTTCTTTTGAGGAGCGCCAAAGAACTCAGGGCGCTTCTGCTGCAGGGGGGAACGTCCGGGCAAACTCCGGTATTAATGTTCCCCCAATATGCCAACTCGGTCATGGATGGGGCCGAGTTGCTACTCTGTGAAGGACCTCCTTCCTCTTCTCGGGCGGACGCTGATCCGTCCGTCCCTACTCCCTCAGAACTCTATCTCCAATATGGCAGGTCGGACAGGCCAAGGACTGGGGTCTCAATTAATGAACCGTCTGACCTACCTCCTCGCAGAGCTTCTCCTACTGGAAGTCAGGCGTCCGGTGCCAAGGACAAAGGCAAAAGGCCCCTAATTCATGAACTCACCACCTCTTCCTGGGGCGGTCGTAGTTCTAGGAGTCGGAGCTCAGCAGAGGCAGCCGATCTGGATAAAGTGTTGTCCTCTGAGTTTGGGAGTGTTCCTCAACAAGAGGAGGAAGAGGTCGAGAAAACGGCCGAGGGTGAAACGGCAGCCGCTGAGGGCGAGGAGGCGGCCGAGGAGGATGTTGCCAATATTGACAACTTCAAGGATCTGTTCGCCTGTATAGTGGGTAGCACAGCCTTGGGCTACCTGAACTACAAATTTGAGACGTACAAGGCATTCCTCCACCTTGGGGAGGGATTCGAGATTCAGCCTCCAAGGAAGTCACGCGCTGTGGCTTCTTGGGAGGAAGAGAGGCCGCGCCAAAGGTCCTTTAGTGTCTATAGGGCGGCCTTAGATGTCGGACTACGCTTTCCTCTCCACCCTTTCGTCCGCACCATCATGGACGAATACGACATTGCCCTCTTCCAGCTGATGCCGAACAGCTGGTTGAACGTTTTTGGGTATTTGGTGACGTGCATCTGCAAAGGCTTCAAGCCAGACTTTGCAGTCTTCTGTGAGATGCACTCACTAACCAAGCTGGGCACAGATATGGACGGCTGGTTCATTCTGAGCTCCACTAGAGACTACATGATGGTGGTTGACCGCGTTTCCAAATGGCGTGACTAGAAGCACCGATTCTACCGCATCAAGACCAAAGATGTTGAATTTAACTTGCGGATGAATCGGTTCAATGCTGAACCAATTCAGCTTGGACGCGGGGACCTTAAGCCTGATAAGCCACCCGTCCACCCCAGTCAAGAGTACTAGCTTGAATATTTCAAGGTCAAGAGGGTGAAAAGGAACGGCAAAACTGAGTGCGTTCCAAGTAACTAGGTCCCTTTATCCAGCTGGCTTCGGGATCCCACATCTATGTCCGCCTATGGCCTGTACAAGAACCTGCCCCAAAGTGGACGCATGGACATATATTTTTACACATACATAGGTCATTTGAATTTGAAGGATTTTCTAACACTTTTTCCTTTTCTTTTTCAGCTGAGGCGTAAAAAATGCTGGACTCAGAGCAGAAAGGGGATGTGAATATGTCGGAGATTGACTTGGCCCGCTACAAGGCTCGTCAAAAGCTGTACGAGCAATATAAAGAAGTAAGTATATTCACCTCCATTTCTTCTTTTCGTCCGTGTTGGGATGCTTGGAAGGTCCTCCCTTCCGGGTTCCCACGGACGTATTCCTGCGTCCGTGTAGGCATTACGGAAGAGATCTTCTTCCTAACTAGACACGGCCACTCAATTGTATTATCTTGTTCTCTTTTCGCTAACTTTTGCCTCTTCAATTGTCAACTCCGACCCCTAGGTCCAAACGGAAGCAGGCGTCCCCTGCCTCCAAGGCGGACAAGGACGGTAGGGCATCCAAGCAAAGGAAGACGGTCGCATCCAAGACCACTTCCACCTCTGCGGCCAACACCACGTCGCGGACTGTCACTAAGCAGTCCAAAGGAGAACAACCCCGGCTGAGTGATAGCGGGGCCTCCAAGTCCATGGGTCCGGCCGCCATGCCGGTTCATGACAAGTCCGAGAAATCGGACGATAGGGGTAGTCGACCTCGGCAAAACCAACCGGGCCAGAAGTGACTCCGCCCGTACAAAGAGTCAACGAATCTGATTGGCTTGAAGCCTCTCAGTCGGCCAGCGATCAGCCTGGTCGGACGGGGGAGGAGGGTGACGAGCCTGCGTCGCCCCCGTCATTCACCTTCAATCTTCCTACCCCTCCAAGCTTCTCTGACGGTCAGTCCGAGTAACTTTGAATTCTCTACTTCGCTCTTTACAAGTCCGATTAAACCTAAGCTAAAATTTTATTTTTGCGCCTTTGCACAGACATTGCAGAGGAGCTGCACATGAAGCTGCCCGACCAATCCCTTACAGGCGCGGACCGGAAGGCCATGAGGGAGGCCATGGTCAGGGCGGTCCCTGCTGAGCAGCGAGACAAGCTGCGAGGGATCCATGAGGGCTTCCTAGGCCCAATGATCAACTGCAGTGTCGAGGTAATTTCTCTCTCAACTGTCATACTTAGTCAATTTTTCAATCTTATTTTGCTAACACGTTTTCCCTGTACGCAGCTCTTCCTGCGGTTGAATGCCTTCCTTGAATGGAAGGACAAGGAGAATGAAAGGCTGAAGCATGCCTGGGCCTAGATTCAGAAGACCCAGGATGCCATTACTGGGGGAAACGACCGTCTAGCGCCGATATTTCGAAACCCAAATCAACGCGCTGTCCGACAAGGCGGCGAGGCAGGCTGAAGATTTGGTGAGGGATCAGGCCCTCCTGGACGGCCAGCGCTGAAGGGAAGGATTCGAGGCCTCCGAGAAGCTTAGAAGTGATGTGGCCTTGGCCCAGAAACACTTGAAAGAGGCCTTAGACAAGGCGGGTGTTCTCAAGGCCGAGGTGGAAAGTTTAAAGAAGTCCGTTGAGGACTTAACTCTCCAGCTGCAAACACCTGGGGCCCCTAGTGCGGATGAGGTCGTCTGCATTGAACAGAATGCTAAGGACAGGATGAAGAGCCACTTCTTTGAGGCTTTTGAGCTTATGGTGGACGAGGGCGAGGCGACCTTTTATCAAGAACGCTTCACCAAACGTCTCAACTTTGTTTGCCTCAGAGAAGAGGCTAAGAAGGCCGGGCAGCCTTCTCCTGAGCTGGACGTCACGCCAACTACCTCAGAAGAGGAGGAAAACGAAGAAGTGGCGGCCAGCAAAGACGGTGAAGCTGAGAGCAAGGAGACGCCTGCTGAGGATGTGTCCCTTGCCGCCGTTCAAGAGCCCGGCCCAGGCCAGAGTCCAGCTTCTACCCCAGCGGCCCCTTAATTTCAGCTCTTTTCTGCCTTAGTTAATTTTTATTTTATTTATCTACTGCCTCTCCGTGCGGTTTTATGGAAAGTACTTTGCTGCCCTTTGAGCGGTCTTTTATTAATCCAAGTTTTTTATTATGCTTCATACTTTGCAAATTTTGCACTTAACAAGTTTTTGCTTTTTCGTACGCGTACTTTTTCACGTTTTTGTATCCTCGTACAATTTGGGGGGTATGCCCCTTTATTCGGCGTTAGCCTAATCCATATTTTAAGTGGTTTGATTTACTTGGTAGAATTTATACCTTGGGGGGTATGACTACTAGTAAGTTAATCAAATCATAGTAATGATTGCCCTTGGACTAAGTGATATGCCGAATCAACACATTATTAGGCCGTTCAATTAGCGTTATGTGAGTTTGTCCGTTGAAACTATCGCTTGGACGCGCTCAAAAAATTTCAAGTATGATCTTAAATTAAAATTTCTAAGTTTGGCTGGGCTAGAATGCCTAGGTATGCCCTTGCCCCATTAGAGGGATTTCATAGGGTACCTTACCTTTTCCATCCGCCTCACTGAGGGATGGACGTATACATGCGACTTAGGGTCAAGTCGCTCGTTTTTATTTTATTTAATTTATTTTATTCTGCGATCGGGTTGCTGTGTTGCAAACAACCTAATCACAAATTTCACGCGGCATTTCTGTGTAGACTATGACCGGGCAAATAAGCATAAATAGAATGGAAAATAATATAACAATGTTTGACTTTTCATTAATTTGTCAAAATTACATTATTGTGGTCGTACGACTTACATTGCTCGGTCAACAGACCTAGCTGTATATACAGCTTTTGGCTAAGTACTTAAACATAATATTTCTTCAAATTGTCACTGTTCCATGTACGCGGAATAGGTCGGCCGTTCATGGCTTCAAGTCGGTAAGTCCCATCTCGGACTTCTTCCCTGACTTGATACGGCCCTTCCCAGTTTGGGGTCAGCTTTCCATCTTCATTTGCTCGTCCCACAGCCTCCATCTTCCTTAGGACCAGATCTCCCAATTTTAGCGGCCGCTTTGACACTCGGCGATTGTATGCCCTTGTCATCCTTAGGCGATAGATTTCGTGTCTAAGCGCCGCGTTGCCCCTAGCTTTAGGAAGGAAGTCTAGGGCGGTCTTCATGGCTTCCTAATTAGCCGCTTCATCATATAGCATCACCCTAAGGGTGGACTCATACATCTCAATTGGGAGGACAACCTCGGCGCCATAGAACAAGAAGAATGGAGTTTCTCCTGTGGAGCTCTTGGCCATGGTTCGTATGGACCATAACACATTAACCAACTCATCAGCCCATAAGCCGCCTGCCCTTTTAAGCTCGCGCTTAATTCCATTGGAGATCAACTTATTGTATGCCTCTACTTGGCCATTGGCTTGTGGTCGGCCGACTGAAGAAAAGCAATGAGCTATGCCTTGGTCCTCCAACCATCCTTTAAGTTGAGGCGTTTCAAACTGAGGTCCGTTGTCAAACACCATAGACTGAGGTACGCCAAAGCGTGTAATGATACTCTTCCATATGAAGTCTGAAACATCCGTCCACTTGATGCCCCGTACAGCCTCAGCCTCCACCCACTTTGTGAAGTATTCTACTGCTACAAACACATAACACCTTTGACTAGATGCTGGTGTGTACGGTCCTAAAATATCCATTCCCCATTTGGAAAAAGGGAGCGGACTACTGATGGCCGACAGACTGTTGGCGGGGCGGTGGATCAAGGTTGCAAATCTCTGGCACTTGTCACATTTCTTTACCATTTTCATGGCGTCCGACTTTAAGCTCGGCCAGTAGTAGCCCAGATGAGCAGCCTTTTCAGCCAAGGCTCGTCCTCCAATATGAGAGTCGCACTGCCCCTGGTGAAGATCGTCCAGGACATAATATCCTTTTTCAGGAGTAATACACTTCAGGTACGGCTTCACAAATGCTTTTTTAAACAACTCCCCCTGCTTCATTTCCAACCAAGCCGCTCTCTTTTTCATCAGCCAGCTCTCTTTGGGATCGGCCGGGAGTAATCCATCCTTTGGATAAGATATGATCCCGTCCATCCAAGTGGAGCTTCTATCAATGATATGTATCGCCTCGGCATCAATACTCCTTCTCTCCTTCACCTCACAAAATACCGACTTGGGGGTATCACATGATCCTGAGGATGCTAATTTAGAGAGGACATCCGCCTGATGATTGGACGAACGGGGAACTTGTTGTAGAGTAAAATGATCCAGGCCCTTAGCCTCCTCTTTTACAATTTTTCAGGTATTTCATCATAGCCGGCTCCCTTGCCTCGAATTCTCCATTCACCTGGCCGACGACAAGTAGAGAGTCCGAGCTTACATCAATTTTTGTTGCTCCTGCCGCCTTACACATTCTAAGGCCGGCTAGGAGGGCTTCATACTCGGCCTCATTATTGCAGGCTTGAAACTGAAATCTCAGAGCGTATTCAAACTTATCTCCCTCAGAAGACTGACATATGACACCTGCACCACACCCGGTAGCTGTTGCACTACCATCCACGAACACCTTCCAGACCTGGTCTCCGGCCGGTTGTAGATCCGGCCGAGTCATCTCAGCTAAAAAATCAGCAAAGGCCTGCCCCTTGATTTCTTTTCTTGGCTCAAACGTGATGTCAAAGCCTCTCATTTCCAAGGCCCACTTCAGCATACGGCCACTTGCCTCTAGAGTTATAAATGGCTTCTTCGGGGGTTGGTCCGTGTAGACCACAATTGAATATGTCAAAAAGTATGGCCGCAGCTTTTTCGATGCCATGTACAATGCCAAGACAAATTTTTCAATAGGGGATGCCTCAGCTCAGCGTTGTGAAGTACATGGCTGATAAAGTAGACTGGAACTGGTGTCCGTCCCGTTCAGCAAGCAAGACGGCACTTAGAGAGTGTTTAGAGATGGCGAGATAGATAAATAGCTTCTCACTCTTGAGTGGACTGACGAGCCGAGGCAATGTATGAAGGTGGCATTTTAGCTGTACGAATGCTTCCTCGGCCTCTTCTGTCCATTCAAACATGGCTTTATTTTTTATGGTTTGAAAGAAATAACGGCACTTATCCTCTGATCTTGACAGAAATCTACCAAGTGCTGCTAAACAGCCGGTCAATCTTTGTACTTCTTTAATCGTCCTTGGTGACTTCATGTCCAGGACAGCTTGAATCTTTTCAGGGTTGGCCTCAATTCCACGCTGATCAATTAAAAATCCGAAAAATTTACCGGACTCAACACCAAAGACACATTTCTTTAGATTTAACATCATCTTATGCCGCCTGAGTTACGTAAAAGTTTCTCGCAAATCCTTCAGATGGTCGCCCGACTCTTTTGACTTGACAATCATGTCATCAATGTACGCCTCCATATTTTGGCCGAGCTGATCTCTGAAGACTGTATTAACAAGTCGTTAAAAGGTAGCCGAGGCATTCTTAAGGCTGAATGGCATAACTTTGTAACAGTACAACCCCTGCTCAGTTACGAACGCTGTTTTCTCTTGATCTTCTTCCCATAATGGAATTTGATGGAATCCGGAGTATGCGTCCATAAAACTCATCAGGGCATGCCCAACCGTTGAATCAACTAGGCGGTCGATTTTGGGCAAGGGAAAGCTATCCTTAGGGCATGCCTTGTTAAGATCGGTGTAATTCACACACATTCTCCAAGTTCCATTCGGCTTCTTCACAAGAACCACATTGGCTACCAAGTCTGGGTAATAACATTGCCGAATGAAACCGACGTCTAGCAGCTTTTTAACTTCAGCTGCAGCCGCCTGATTCCTCTCTTCTCCATGATTCCTCTTCTTCTGGCGGACAGGCTTAATGGCTGGATTTACAGCCAGCTTATGCACGGCCAGGTCAGGGTTTATTTCTGGCATCTCACCAACATCAAATGCAAATACATCTTTGAACTCTCTCAACAATTGAATTAACTCATCCCCAAGCACACCCAAAGCTATAGTGCCCACACTAACCGTCCGACCTGGTTGATCGGGGTCAAGCACTATATCTTGGTGACTGCCGGCCGGCTGGGGTCGTAACTCATCTGGCCAACCGACAATCATTAGCTGTTATGCTTGTTCTATCTTGGCCGCCTTACGCTTCTAGATGACCTGGTGTGCTAGGAGTGAGGTTCCTTCTTCTTTTGGCTCGGACACCTTTGGTCCGCGCGCTGTAGGCTTAACCGCCAACTGATTACATTCCTTTGCCATTTTCTGACTCCCTTGGATTGTTCCTATTTTTCCGTCCGTCCTCTCGAACTTTAGCAGCATTAGGTGAGGTACAATGACTGCTTTGGCTACAGTCAGTGTAGGTCGATCGAGTATGATATTATATCCAGTCAGCTCTTTCACAACCAAGAAGCAGACAACCATATCTCTTCCTTCCCCTTTTTGCCCAAAGCGGACGGGTAAATCTATCCGCCTCACCGAGTGGATAACACTCCCCCCAAATCCGACCAACGGGTGAGTGATGTCCTGGAGAGCATCCTCTGGGAAGCTTAGATTCTTCAAGGCGGCCAGGCTGATGATGTCAATCGTGCTACCCGTGTCAATCAATATTCGTCTGACCTTCAAATTGGCTATCTTCATAATGAATACCATGGGATCATTGTGCATAGCCTTGACCTCCCCCCGATCACCCTCACTGATGATTACTTCGGGGAAGGGTTCGGCCTTTACTGAGTCCATTTGCATCACCTTTCCCAAGTTCCGGGCGTCCTGCTTGATCCCTTTTATAGTTGGGCCGCCTGAGGCAAATCCCCCTGATATCACAGCCACAAAGCCTGAGTTAGTGCTATTCCCATCATCCTCCTTGTCTTTATTCTTATCATTCTTCTGTCTTTGCTTGGACGTGTTGTTTGTCCGTGTGTAGGTGAATTTGGACTTCATCACATAAGAATTCAGCATGCCCTTCTCGGCTAGCTTGTCCAGCAATCTCTTCAAGTTGATGCAATCGTTTGTGTCATGCCCCACGTCCTTGTGGTAATGACAGTACTTATTCTTGTTTCTGTACTGAGCCGGGCCTTTCAGTGGTTGTGGCTTTTCAAACTCAAACTTATCCTTGATTTCCATCAAGATAGAATAACAGTCCTTGTTGAATTCAAACTGAGGCTCGTACGTCTTGACCTTCTTGGACTTCTGCGGCTGGGCATCAGCCACCCAGTCTTCTATTCTCTTTATTCCTTCTTTCTTTTGGCCGGTCGAGTCTTGCTGAGAAAGTTTCTTCTCAGCCCCCTTGGTCGGCGCTTCTGCTTTTGTGAGTGAGAAAAAGTTCTCCGCTTCAATATAAGCTTCGGCTTCCCGCAAAACACATGCGTATGTCCGAATCTTTTTCCTTACCAGGTCAAATTTAAAACCATTGTGCCTTAATCCCCGGAGAAATTCAGAGTAAGCCATTTCATCTGGCAGATTATGAATTTGGGCTTTTTCTTGGTTAAATCGTTGGACGTACGAGCGTAGGCCCTCATTCTTCCCTTGGACGATTGTCGCCAAATTAAGGCTAGTCTTTCGAGGCGGTATGTTGTATGAAAAATTTCCCACAAACAGCAAACAGAGGGTAGTGTTCTTCTAGGTTGCCCGTACCATCATAGGCTCCCACAAGTACACTCCTCACCGTTGGCGGCTGAGGGGCAGTTAAAACATCTTGTGAAAACGGAGGCGGCTTATCTCCCAGATTTAGTAGGCGCATCTTCCAATCGATGGGTTGTGGCTGCACGGGCGGTCCAGCTAAGTAGGGAGCCTGTCCGTAAGGCCCATATTTTCCGAAGGCTTAGGGGTTCGGTTGCATCAATCCATTGAACCCCTGAGGAGGTTGATATTGAAGTGATTGCGCTAGAATAGGAGTTAGAGTATGGACAACTGGAATAGGAGTTGGGGTGTGGACCGCCTGACTTCTGCTAGAGATGGCCGTGTTGGTATGTTGAGAGAGAGAATGATGTGAAAAATCATCTGGCATAGTTGGGGTTGAGGCCGTGTCCGAGTAGGCGACACGTTCCCGCTGCTTATGCTGAAGGTAACCCCTTGAATCCTTCCATCGTCTGGACGGCTCAGACTCTTCTCTTTGAGGCTGCCTACCCCTCCCCCCAGCCGACTATGTTTTCGCCAACAAATCAGAGAAGTTTGTCCGTGGTACCCCTGGGGACCTTCCAGTCGGCCTTCGAAAGCGAGTGTTTCCAACGTCCGTTGCATGAACTGCTTTGCTGCGTGTCTTCTTTGGAGCCCACTATTCCTCTCTCCTGGGCGGCTTCCTAGAGGTAGAGGCTCCATTGCTCTCAAACTCCTTCCGAAGTTTGTTAAGCGCGACCTTAAGAGAGGTTGCGGTAACAGGAGGGTCATCAACTTCTTGAAATGTGGCTATCAGCGGATCGCTGGTATGGATTGTAGGGATTATATCCTCTACATGTTCGTCCTCGCCTGGATTAGGTGTCTATCGCCATAACGTACGAGTATCCCTACAGACGGCGCCAAATGTTTCGGGTGTTTTTTTGGATTTCCTTGGATACTGGTCACGCTCTCCTGGCAACGAGACGGTCCGACCTGCAAAACAACGAATATTCCGGTTGTCGGAATATTCGCCTCCGACGATCAAGTTAGTGATCGGAACGGAAAAGGCTAGAGAGAGAAAGTAGAGAGAAGTTGGAGCTATTTAATGCTCTTTTTGTTGTAATGTCTTAATCCACCCCTCCCATCATGAATGATTGGGGTATTTATAGGGGTGGGATTCGTGCCCCATTCTAGGGTTTGTACCCTAGAATTGCGTGACGTGATTGGCTGTGCAATCAGTGAATGCCACGTGTTACTTTGGGGGCGCCGTTTTGCGGCTTTCATTGATGTCTCTCGGGATTTGGGCCATGACGTTATTAGGCCTCTTTTGCGTGCTGATATTAGGGGAACACATGCCCTAAACACGTGGCATCTTCCTGTAAAGACACGTGTCACCCACTAACTGGGCCACGTGTCGCTACGAGATTGGCCTGAACCGTTGAGTGCCCTTAAGCTGGACGCGTGGCATCTTCCCATAGTGACACATGTCACCCTATAACTGGGCCACGTGTCACTACGGGACTGGTCCACGTATACAGGGTATTTTTACCCTCAACAGGTCTGATCTGATCTGATATGATCTGATTTGAATGTCAGATTTGACCAAAATTTGACCTTAAATATACGATATCTATACTGAAAAAAATATTTCAAGTGGGGTCTTGTTAGATTCATAATAATGTGTATTTTATTAATATGTGATTTTCATAATTTTTTCTTTACAAAATTAAAGATATTTAGCGATAAAAACGACACATAAATCGATGATCTGATCTGAACTGTTTTTTTTTATCTGATTTGGTCTGAACATATTTTTTCTTATTTGATATGATAATAAGTAAAAATAAGGTGAACTAAACAAGGCCTTAACCTAAGGTTAGTTTTTGGTATATAACAAATTTTATCAAAACAGAGAGAGTATTATAGATAAAATTTAATCTTATACGTAGTATGAAGTAATTTTGGTATTACTTTCATCTTTTGGTATTACAAAAGTGGATGATAAGAATCGATCTTAAAATTCCCTAGAATCAGTCTAACCACTTAAGCTATCCTTCACTTTTAGAAATCAAAAAATAAATATTGAAAATTATTTTCATCTTTTAGCTTTTTACATATACCTCTTCAGACTATATATAACATTTTTCAATGTTTAGAAAATAAATCAACATTGAAAAATAAATCAACATTGAAAAAGGTTATACATAGTCTAAAGATTTATATATAATAA